CACTACTGTATACTACTTCACAGGTGGTGCAAGTACCTTATAATAATGAAATAGTCTCAATTCCTCTCTCCCATCCCTCTTTTCATTGCTGTTGTTTCACATATACAGAAGCATACACAAGCATATATATGCATATAAATTGAATACATGATTGCTATTATTTTAAACAAATTGTTATCTGTTAGATCAATTAAGCATAAGAAAATTAAAGGTTTTGTTTTATTTTCACTTATTTGTTCACCAGGGCTCTTCCTTTCTTTGTGTGGATGTGAGTTTCTAATCCGCATCGTTTTCCTTCTCTCTGAAGAACTTCTTTTAACATTTCCTCCAAGGCAGCTCTACTGGCAACAAAACCCTCATTTTTGTTTGTCTAAGAAAGTCTTTATTTTTCCTTCCTTTTTAGAAGGATTATATCACAGGGCATAGGATTTGAAGTTGGTGGGATTTTTTCTTTCAACACTTAAAGTAAGAGGGGATTTTTCCTTAATGTTTACTAGGAGGATGTGAAAGGGCTCCTTAAGGTAAAACTCACAAAATTGTGTTTATGGGGCTGTCTTCTACCTGGAGCTTTTAATGCTTACACTTGTCAATATCAAACCTCCAGCAATTCATCATTTATGGTTTAGGTTTTCCTACCCTGACACTGGTTCCCACACAGGTTTCTGCTCATGGGTTTCCGCTCTGGTAAGTTGTGATTCTCTGTATCTGCCCTTCTGTCTCTCCAATTTTGAGGGCAGCAATTTGCCCTGTGACCTCACTTCTCTGACATATCGAAGAAAAGTGATTGATGTTTCAGTTTGTTCAGCTATATACTGGTTAGGATGAATTGGCACCTCCCGACATACTTTTTCATTAAAAATTTTTATACAAAAAAATTAGCTAGGCTTGGCGGCGCACACCTGTAGTCCCAGCTATTCCGGACACTGAGGCAGGAGAATTGCTTGAACCCGGGAGTCGGAGGCTGCAGTGAGCTGAGGTGGCAACACTATACTCCAGCCTGGCGCCTGGTGATGGAGTGAGACTCTGTCTCAAAAAAAAAAAAAATTAAAGATAATTTTGCTTATGTGTATACACATGAATATATGATGCCTTGATTTGTGTTTCAGTCTTTTTCTTTCTTTGTTCTTCCTTGCCTGGTACTTGTCTCTCTCACTCCCCAACCCCATTCATAAGTGCCCCTTTTCCACCAACCAAAATAATGTTAATAATCTAGTATGTATCCTTAATTTCACTCGAGGCTTTTATAGACCTATATATCTATAGATACGTAAACATATTGAAAGCTTTTGACAATGGTTTAATAGCAACAAGATCATATTATAAACGTCTTTCAGATTGTTACTTTCTTCATAAGCTAACCCTTATGGAAATTAGTGCAACCCAACTGACATAGTTATGATTTATTCATTTTAAGGTCTGCATAATAGTCAATAAAGAGAATACGCCTTTAGTTAATTCAGTTGTAACCATGTTGTACTCTCAGTATGGATCCTCTTAAGGTTCTCAAGAGCATTCTCAAAAGACCTTCAGTGTTTATGACCCAAGACCTTAGAGCGCACCACACATAGGATCAGGAAATCTGGGTTTAGTCTTCACCTGTTTTGCTTTTACAATTGTCAAAAACAAATTGTATAACTTTCAAAGATCTGTATATCTCTACAGGGAAAAAAAGAAGAAAAAAACCTGCAAAAACCCATAACTACCTGCTTCACAAAATGGCCAGACAATGAAAAATAATTTTCCTTATGCGAAAATACTCCTCAATAAAGCACAAAGTAACACTCTGCTGTACTCCTGATATACCATCTCCCCATCTAACTAAGTGACTATGGCAGGCAGAATTCTAAGATTATCACAGTGTAATTTATATGTTCTGTATAGTCCCTTCTTGAAAGGGAGTGAGACTGAATATGATGGATTGCACTGCTTTGATCTTATGTTATATGATGACAGTAAAGGCACCAAATCAGCTGATTTTGAGTTAATTATAAGGGAGATCATCCAAGGTAGGCCTCATTTAATTGGGTGTCAGCCTATAAACAGAAAGGGTGAGAGATTTAAAGAGAAAAACTGAGAATTTCTTCTGCTTGCTTTAAAGAAGCAAGCAACCACATGTGAGATGGCATATGGTTAGCATCTGAGGATTGTCTCTGAGAGCTAGGAGAAACCTCTGGCCAACAGCAAGCAAAGAAATAAGGACATCAGACTTAAAGTTGCAAGGAACTAAATGCTGCCAACAACCAATATAGAGCTTAGAAGAAGAGCCTGAGCCACAAGAGAGATCACACAAACTTGGGCTGAAATTGTGATTTCCACCTTGTAAGCAAAGAAGCCAGTTATGCCATGTCCAGACAGCTAACCAACAGAACATTGAGATAAGTAATGGAAATGGTTATAAAACACTGTGTGGTAGGTTATTAGGGAGCAACAGAAAACTAATGTGGTGACCTTATATGAGATATATAGAGTTCAATCTCCAACACTATAAAGAAAAACAGTAGGTCCAAAGCATGAGCTTTCTAGTTCTAAAATACCGTATTTTTAGAATTCTACCATAGATCAAACTCAAAGCTCTGTTTCAATTAACAGAATCAGTAGTTGTTTAAAAAAAATAGCACTGGGGGCCAGGTGCGGTGGCTCACACCTGTAATCCTAGCACTTTGGGAGGCCGAGGCAGGCGGATCATGAGGTCAGGAGTTCAAGACCAACCTGGCCAACATGGTGAAACCCTATCTCTACTAAAAATACAAAAATTAGCTGGACGTGATGGCGGGCACCTGTAATATCAGCTACACAGGAAGTTGAGGCAGGAGAATCGCTTGAACTTGTGGGGCGGAGGTTGCAGTGAGCTGAGATCCCACCACTGCATTTCAGCCTGAGCAACAGAGCAAGACTCCATCTCAAAAAAAAAAAAAAAAAAAAGCACTGGGGAAGGATAGCATTCATTTGTATCACTAGTTACACAATGTCTTTTTTAGGGTGTCATTAGAATGATCTGACATATTATTTGAGGTACGGCAAGTTTTGTAAGTATTTTGTGTATTAAATGAGAACCTCCAGGCAGATTTACAAAGAAACATTTGTTTAATGGAGTTGAATGAGCAATAGTGAGGGAGACAGGACACTTTGAAAGTAGAAGACAGTTATTTTCATAATCTATTTCTCAACATTGACCACAAGCAACATTGTTTTTGAGATAACAAACCTTTGGACTCTAATTAAGCCAATGTGAAACTGAATTCATATTAACAGGAGTTACATGCACACCATGTGTGAGGATCCAGAACAAATGATCTGATTGAAAAAGATCAGAACCTGTTGCAGTTTAAGCTGCATTTGGGCCTATTGTAGAGTTTGGTTTTGAAGATGATAAAAACTTTACCATGTCCTTTGCTCATCCCTTCAAAAGTTGATAAGAATGTTAAGAGACTGCTATCAAAATACCTACTTGAAATATTAAACAATACATCACTTTAAAAAAAAAAAAAAGTAAATATATGAAATTCTACCCAAGACAAATTGCCTGTAGGACTGCCATAACAAATTGATGCAGGATTTTTTTCTCCTTAGCTCAGCTAGGTCTGGGTTCTTTTCTCATAACCAGAAAAAATTAGGCATGTAGACACTTGAAGAGTGAGTGGAGTAGAATTTATTAAGCAAAAGGAAAGCTCTCGGCAAAGAGAGATCCTGAAAGCAAGTTCCCAGTTACTGCCTTTTCAGTTGAATACAAGTGTGGTAAACAGTTTACCTTCAATCTGCTAAGTGATTTCTACACGTTTTCACCAGCATTTGACATTATCATTTCAAGTGCTGTCACATGTGTTTTGAAGATACATTGAAATTTATTATTGGGGAGGGAAGGGGTAACAAAAAATACTATATATTTAATTGTAACTTTTTTTCTGTGTCTTGCATTCAGGCAATCACCAGAGGAAATTAGTGTCTGTAGGCTACACTTTGCTTAACACATTTAATTAAAGAGCCCAGTAGTAGAGAATTCAAGATAGGTGTGTTTAATTTCATGAAATCACTCATTTCATTACTTCTAAATTTCATCAGTCAAATTTTATTTCTTTAATTGCATGTTGATTGTTGTAACGAGGAGAATTAGAACAGCTCATAGGACAATATTTCTTTTTGATTTTTCTTAACACACCATATTTATTTGGAAATTTACCTTCTACATTGTCCAGGGAATTAGGATGGGCGTTGGCTGTTTTTCAGCACTTCCTGGTTGAGGCCAAGGGCTCCACTCACGTGCCTGTCCATCCTTTTACAAGGCTTCCCTGGCAGCTCCAGGTTTTCCGTTTAAAATTTAACAATGACCAAATTCCAAAAAAGCTACCAGGCTAAGAAATGATTTTTTTTTTTTTTTTCTTTTAAATCCGGAGAAGTGCTGCTGAGCACAGCTGGCTCACTGCTGTTCCTGCAGCCCCCGTCTCTGATCCGTTCTAGTCTCCTACCCACCCCCACCCCACCATAGGCAGGCAGAGATGGATTTCTGCCCTCCAAACCCCGAGAGTGAGAAAACATCGCCTGAAGTCCTCGCATCACCTTCCACCCTCACGCCCTTGGCTTTAAAAAAGCCACTGCGCTCGTGGGTCATTCCAGGGTGCCTCTGCAGTGTCTGGAGCAAGTACAAGAGCATCCCTCCCACGGGATGTGCAGTGTATAGTCAAGCTAAGTAAACTGGGAATTTTGGCTGCTTTTTCTGCTGGGGTGAGTGGGGAAAGGTGTGTCCCCCAAGCGTTCAGTTCAGACTAGAACCTTTGAATCTCTCCTGTCTCAGTGTCTCCCTCCAACCCCACCCGCCACCTTTCACGGTGTGGGAGTTCTGCTTTCCCAGACCAGAGAGGGGCGCTTTTCTGGCTTCCTGTCCCCTCGCCCACTGATTTAAAAATACAGAAAAAGACCAACACCAAAACCCCAAACAAAACGAAAGCCCCAAACTAAAAAAAAACAAACAAAAAACCCACCCAAACCCAAACCAACCACCCTTCCCCCAAAACACACAAATACGGGAGTCACAGCGAGTGGATCCGCTGCTGGTGCCGAATGAATGGAAGCGCGGGGCGGGCCTGCGCACGCGGCCGCCCTGCCCACGATGCCGTCGCCCCGCGGCCTGTAGGGCCTTCGCTGGCCCCTCGCCCTCCTCCCGCCCTGGGCTGAGGCTGCCGCCGGCTCCGCGCCCAACGCTGAGGCCGCGGCGGCGACGGGGAAAGTCGGAGGGAGGGTGGTTTCCTCCCGCCCCACACCCAGTCTCCGAGCCGGATATATAGAGTGTCACGTTTGGGAGCCGAAAGACCAGAGCCGCTTCCTTGTGGCTGGAGGGCTTCCCGCAGCCTCGGGGAAGAAGCAGGATTTGGAGGACCACTAGTTGAACCCCATCCCCGTGCTGGACGAACAGGTATTCCAGGGTCCCCAGCCCTGGCGCTCGCAGAGCCCACGCGCTCCGAAGGCAGAGACCAGGCTGGGGGTGGCCCGGGAGGGAGGGCTGGCTGGGTTCGCAGGGCGGGGCGGTTCCTGGCGGGACCTCGAGGAGGGTGGGTGTGAGGCTGGGTGGGAGGAGAGAAGCATTTGCCGAAGCTCTGCCCCTGAAGCTGCCCCCGGCTGCACCCCCGTCGTCACCCGGCGTTTAGGCGCGTTTGGCGTCGGCGGAGCCCGCCAAGGTGGGGCGCGCGGGGGTTGCAAAGGGCAGCGAGCTAGGAAGGACCAGAGAAGGTTAACGTGGGGGGCTGCGCCGTGGGGAGTGGGGACCGAGGGAGGGAGGCGCGGGGCCGGGTCCTGCCCAGGCCTTCTGGGCCCCTGGAGCTATTCCCAGAGAGAGCGCGCAAACGCCGGGGCCACGTGTGAAACAACGGCCGTCCCAGGTCCCCTCCGGCGTCCGGGACAGCCGGGGCGCCCTGCCCTGGCCCCCGGAGCGGGTCCTCACCGGACTCCAGTCCCACCCGAGGCTGCGCACGTCCCTACGCTCCCACTTGGGCCACGCCGGGGTTGTGGCTGACGCGTTCGGGTGGCTGGGGAGTCCAGGGCGAGGTTTGCCCTTGTAGGAAGTTTTCGACCTCTTCCTGTGGCCTGAGCATCCTGGGGGTGTGCAGGGGAGCAGGTGTCAGAAGACTCCCAATTGGAGTAGATGGCTTGCAGGAAGGCTGCTCAACCTTCCCATAAAGTAGAATTGTCCGCAGGGCAGTCTCAGTCTATTAAAACAATTCGTGCCCAGCCTTATGCTAGAAACCAGAGGAAGGCGTCCCACCTGCCAGCGGGGGGTAGGATTATAGGCACCTTTTCTTCTATGGATCAATTATGTGGTATGAGCAACCAAGGTTATCGCTGGATCTGCAAGAGTTTGGCCACTGGTTGAATCACATAGAGTGCTCCCATTACGTGATGAGCAAGGACAGGGCAGTGTCATCAGAGTGACCAGGAAACTCAAGTGGACCATGATTTTCTGCTTGCTAGATCGAGAGAAGTTTGACACTGTGCAAATGGAAATTTGAGCGTTGTCCCGTGGTTTCAATTACCCATCTCTCTATATTCCCATTTATATAAGTTGGAGATTTGACTGACAGGTGTATTTAGTCCAAAATTTATAAAGCTGGGCAAGGGACACAATAAAACCGTAAGGCAGCCACCTAAACTGAAGAGCAAGTGGTTCAGCAAAATTCCCATTTAGGGGTATTTGTGTGCGAGGGAGATGGGCATGAGGTTTTTACCAGGCCGACTCTTATGTCAATATTTCATCAGCAGTATTTCTCAGGATCCATGTCTTTACAGTATTCTTTTTCTAATTCTGAGGGCAACTTCTGCCCGTGCTGTATTAACAAATTCCTCACTTCTATTTCTAACATTGGGTTATAATTATCTATAAAATAGATGTAAATCACTGTGAGTTGGTAAATCTTACAGCTATTAGAGAAATTAAGGTATATGAAAATATCTTTTCCTTAAAGGAGGCTAAAATGTGACATCCAATTACAGAGGAAGAGAGAGAGATTGAAAAATAAAATGGCTTATGTTAGGGTATCACTTTGGGGTTCATACAGCATGTGATCATCTTGACTGTCTCACCATCTGTTTTTCTATCTCCCAAAGAGGCATTCTTGAGGTCATTTGTTCTTGGCAACACCTCATCAGGTTAAGAAGTCCTGTATTTTGCGTTAATTCCCATGTACTCGTGAAAGCTTACTGATTCACGAATATAGCCTTGTGAAGGATCATGCGCAGTGACTGCCCACGTGCTTGTCCCTACCAATATATTCTGACATTGTGGGCTCTGTTGGAACATGTATTACCTTTGGAGAGGGTAACAGACCAACTTGAGAATTTGATGAAAGCTCTGGAATGTGAAAGACAAACACATGCATATGAACACATAATTCCACCTACAATTTCAGGAGTTCATGGCCTCTTTGATGCCTAGCCTCCCACATTATAGATGTCTGGAGACTCCAGGCAGGGCCAGCTTCATGGAAATGCAAAACTATAGTTGCACAGGGCCTTGCGCTTGGACAGGTCCTGCCTGCATTTGGTAATGTTCTGCTGTCACTGTTGTCTGGCTTAATAATTTTCAAACAAGAGGCTCTGAATCTTCATTTTGTACTGGGTTCTACAAATTATGTCCTGACCCCAGGCTGACAAACTTGATCTAAAACTAACTAAATTGCAGTGTTGTCTTAACAGGAATCCCACATTTCTGTTAGGGAGTTTTCCAGTACAACTTGAAATTTATCTGCTGCTCACTTAGGTGCCCTTGGACATGTCATTCAGTCTTCCTATATTTCAGTTTCCTCATTGACAAAATAAAGGCAACAGATGAAACCTTCTTTATTTTCAATGTTCTATTATCTCTAAGTAAAAAGAGATAATAATTGTAAACATGTCTACTGACTTTGAATAGTTCTTGATAACAAATATGCTATTGTTGAAGGGTTAAACTTTGCCCTCCATTTTTCAGAAGTAGCTTGAGAAAGGTTGGTTAAGCACATTAAAAAGATTGTAGAACCTTTCTAACCCTTATAGTTGGTGGAAAATGAAACAAAAAGTAGAAAAGTATTCACTTTAAATACTCAGTATTTAAATGGTAAATACTGAAATATCATTATTTGGACAAGATTGGAATTTTCAACTAAAAGTACAGAATAACTTCTTGGATCCCAAAGATATGTTTGGGTCTAATTCATCCAAAAATGGAACCGTGAGAAACTGAGCCACTGATTGACATTTTTTGAGGGGGTAATCCCTTTTGTTTAATTTAAAAAATCTGTAAGTTAAAAAGTTTGATCAAATTATCCTTTAAAATATCCTGGTAAATGCTAAATCAATGTAAAGTACACCTAGTGTCTTGTCAAGTACACCTAGTTACCTTTTGTGAGTCTGGTACCACTTGAAAAGGAACTGAGAAAACAGGCAAGTCCTCTGTCCCCAGATTCCTCCCTTTATTAGTCTCTGACCTCAAAACGTATCCTTATTCCAGCTGTCCTTGTTAGCATGATGGCAATACACTCAGAACCATTGAGGAATAAAATAGGGTGAAAGGGAGCTGATCAAACTCTTATATTAAGGTCTTCTAATAGGGGCACTAGAAGGGTAAATGGAGATTCCTTCTTCATGCAATTACTCTGTGCAGGAGCATCCAGTGTACTTTAGGATGCAAAGTAACAGGTCCTGTATTCAATAAACTTTTGACATCATTAGCAAGAAAAAATATGTCAATATAAGGTATTAATTTAAAATAGCAAATAAGTAGTTACAAGGCAATAGAAGATTTGGCACCAAATGAATGGGAGAGAAAATAAGTGCAATGAATTCCCAAGAAGAGAATAAAATAAGCTGAAATGCTGAGGGAAGGGTAAGAGGAAAGACCCTTAAAGATAACCCTTAAAGTTCTGGCCTTAATAGAGATGAACAAATAAGACTTTTTGGTGCCCAGGAACCGCAGTGGCACTTTGGGGTGGGAAGTGTGCAGAAAAGAAAAATCTGAATGCAGCTGAAAATTTTATGTAAGCAAAAGGCAGGAGATAACTCTGTAAGAGAAATTCCCTCTGCTAGCTTCATTCATGTTACAAATAATTATTAAGCACGTTCTGTGACCAGACATCATGCCAGCTTTTCCACATTTGGTGTTGTACAGAGCAGATGTGTTCCCTATGTTTTTGGAACCTACAGACATTTACAAAATAAACATTTAAGAAGATATTGTGGGAAGTAGTATGGAGAACAGCATGCTATAAGAAAAAAACCCAGGGATGCTGACTCTGATTTGGTGCTCTGAGAAGGCTTGCTCTTTGACAAAGAAAGATTTCAGTTGCTATTGGAAAGAAGCATAGGGGTTAACGTGACTGAAAAAAAAATCAACAAAGAGAAAAAGCAATCTGGGCACAGGAAATTGCAAATGGGAAGATCCTAAAGAGAGAAAAAGCTGGCAACATTCAAGGGACAAAGAGAAGGCAGGCCTTGTGACTGGACTTAGCTGAGGGCACTGCTGAGAGGCAGGACACACAGTTGGAGAAGGGAGCAGGTGACTGATCATGCCAGACTTCACAGGTCTTGATAAAGATCTTGAATTTAATTTAAGTGGGTAGCCATTGAAGACATTTAAGCCAGAGACTGTTCTAATTTCTATTTTGAGGAAATCTTTATGGAGACAATAAGGAGAGTGAACTAGGGGGATAAAGGATTGGAGGTATTAAGACCAGCAAGGACAGAGCACAGGTGAGAGTACTGTCAGGGAAGAGGGAGAGAAGTGTGCAGACTTGAGGTGTGTTTTTACGGTTGGATTGACACAGCTTGGTGATAGATTGGATATGGGAGGTGGGTGAGACAGAAAAAAGAGTGGGAATGAATTCATTTAATAGATAGTGCTGAATGCTTATAATCCAAAGCAGCAGGCTCAGATGCATATGATTTAGAGTTGCCATAAGAAGAACTGAAATAGAAAACAAAAACTGATCGCCCTGGTTATTACCTCTGGAAAAGTGTACTGGCTGCTGGGATAGGGATGAGAGAAAGGAAGGAGGAGATTTTTGCTTTCCATACTATCCTCTGTACTATTCAAATTATTTTTTTAAACCATGCTTGCATTTTATAATTTTTTTAAAAAGTTATCACCGTGAGAGATATAGCTCCTGTTTTTCTGATTGAGCACATAGATGGAATATGGTGTAATTTCCTAAAATGAGAAAAATTAGGGAAGATCTGATCCTCTCCAAAATAATTATTCTAAAATATAATTTACTCCCCTGCTTAAAACCTTGTCATTCCTCTGCCTTGTCTATAGCAGTGTTTCCCAAAATGTACTCTGAATGATTATTTTCTTGGGATATTAACAGTTAAGTAAAGGAAGAAATGCTTCCCTGATGATATAACTTTGAGAAACACTTGATTTTACCTACTTAACCAGTTTTATTG